CAATGGGAACAGTTTTGACAGAACAATGGGAACAGTTTTGACAGAACCATAGGAACAGTTTTGACAGAACAATGGGAACAGTTTTGACAAAACAATGGGAACAGTTTTGACAGAACCATGGGAACAGTTTTGATAGAACAATGGGAACAGTTTTGACAGAACAATGGGAACAGTTTTGACAGAACCATGGGAACAGTTTTGACAGAACAATGGGAACAGTTTTGACAAAACCATGGGAACTGTTTTGACAGGACCATGGGAACAGTTTTGGCAACAGTTTTGACAGAACCATGGGAACTGTTTTGACAGAACCATGGGAACTGTTTTGACAGAACCATGGGAACAGTTTTGACAGAACAATGGGAACAGTTTTGACAGAACAATGGGAACAGTTTTGACAGAACAATGGGAACAGTTTTGACAGAACAATGGGAACAGTTTTGACAGAACAATGGGAACAGTTTTGGGAACAGTTTTGACAGAACAATGGGAACAGTTTTGGCAACAGTCTTGACCAAACAAACAGCAAACATGACTCACCGACATCCGACGACCCGGCAGGAAACACAGTAGAACGGCTGTGACCAACACCACTAGACTCCCCGCCTTCATGAACACTTGCGTAGTGAGGAGGGGAGACGGCCGAGGTGTGCCCAGCTGGTCCACCCGTCCCGTCCTTTTGCTCCCATTGTTTGGGGAAAGAAAGAAGGACTTTGGAACTGAGAAATTGACTGAACCCAAGAATGTGCTCAGACCCATCTTGAAGAAGATTTGAAGCATCAGCTTTTGTTTCTCGACTTTCTCCATGTATATTGTGTCCTGAACGCTGCCCCCATTCTGTTTTCCCGCTCGGAGACGACTCACGGCACGGCGTTCCCCCAAGGTCATCCCTCTTGTATTTGTCCAGAACGTCTTGGCTAAACGAGCTGCGCTGGACAACTGGGCGACCCGGCGAGGGTGGGGACTTGTTGCTCCGTGCACGGTGAGCCCACCTCTCTGGGTAGACATCTGCCGAGGTGGGAGAAAGATTGTGAGAGAGATTGTGAGAGAGATTGTGTGGAGACAAAGCTGTCCCCGCGATAATTTGCAAATTGCTACCCTAAAATTTGCCAAAAATTGCCCCCAAAAATGCCAAAATTTGCCACAAAAATTGCCAAATTTGCCAAGAAATTTGCATTCAGAATTCATACAAGACAATTGCTGCTTACCCCATGAAACAGACATACTGAAAAAGACTTGCATTTTGGGGGGTTATTTTGAACATTCATACATTCTTTTATTAAAAGAATATTAGAAAGCTATATAAACATCATCTTTACACAAGTATAGTTTATCCAGAAACATCCCAATGGAACTGAAACTAAGGCTGGTGAACTGCTCCATCATTCCAATCATGTCCTATGCCACAGAAACTTGGACAATGTACAAAACTTTAGTAAACAAGATTGAGGATCTGATGTAGATCTTTCGCAGACTAGGCAGAATCGGCTGGAAAGACAAAGCCACAAATGAAGCAGTGATGCAAAATCTTGAAGTGAAAAGAGAAGTACTACAGTACCAAAACTAAAATCAGTAAAACTAACAAAAATACTAACATACTTCGGGCACACCATGCGCCATGACTCACTATCAAGGATAATTCTCACCGGTCAGACGAAAGGGAAGACAGCTAGAGGCAGACAATGGAAGTCATAGACTGATGATGGAAAAGCCGGGAGGGGTAACAGCTTGGTAATGCATGGTCAGATCACAAGACCTAAGTGTTCGGAGACTCGTGGCACAACGACCTCTGAAAGTCAGGGATGACACCTAGGCAAGGCAAGGCAAGTCATGCATTTGAAAAATAAATCTGAAAATGAAAATACAATCAAATGTACCTCCAAGATTGACAAGCAATGAAGTTATTGTAATATAGAAACACTAATGCCTTCAAGTTTTCTTCATTGAGGTGTCGTCTCCTCCCAGAAAAAACAAGATTGTAAATCTACGATTGCTACGGTTAACGCTGCAACAGTGTACCAGTGTCTGCGGTAAAAAAAGAGTACCGTAGCATAAATTAAATAGGATTAGAATAGAGATCTGGACGCGAATGAAGTTCAGAACGAAGGGAAACAAGTCTGGCAGACTTCCGAGGGCCTGATGTGAAATTTGAGTTTGAGAACGGCTCAATAGAAGGAAAATATTTCTGAAAACTATAATTTTTGTAAAATTTGCGGTAGTTTGCGGAAAGCTGCGAAATTCCGCGCTGTCAGACAAATTACCTTGAAGCTGAGTCTCCTCTCCCCTGTTCTCACAACGTCGTGTGCCGTCCCATCGCGCTGAGTCAGGTCTGGAGTGGACATCTGTGTGTGAAAAGCTGTGTGCACGTTTGGGTCTGTCCCCTCTACCATGAGAAGGACTCCTCTTTTCTGTATCTGTACTCAGCTTTGTATATTTCTCATTGTCGCTTTCTAAACCAGAAAGATTGTCAACGTTTTGCCTACCTGACTTACGCTTTTCGTTGTGGCCTTTACGGTGAACGTGTTTTCTTGGCAAAGAGACAAAACTGTCCACAAAACTGTCATGATTTCTCTGTCTGTGGGAAACTAACATCTCCAAGCCTTCAGGGTCTTCATCATCATCCACAGAACGCAAAGCTCTTGTGGTACCTTCCAGTCTTGTGAAGCCCTGTGCAGGAACATTCACAGAGCTTTTGTCATCCAAGAAAACTTTAGGAGAGTGGGCCCAAACAGATTTTCTGTGTATCACTTTCTGACTTGCTTTGGCGAGAACCTTTGCTTTTTGAGAGGTGATGTCCAAAATATTCACACTGTCTTCGCCTTTATCATGACAATTCTTCATGCCAGGGATACTCCTGTCCACTGCCTTCAATGTGTTCTCCACCGAAGACTGGCTGGAATCTTTTGCCCATTCCGCTTTCAAGCAAGTCACGGACGGTGTTGCCTCCTCTGAACACACATGGTCTGGTGGGACCTTTCTGCTGGAGCCAGTACTGTACGGGTCTCGACTCTGAAAAAAGTCAGATCAGGAAATACTTACAGTAGATACATGAAGCAATATTCATGTCTTTTTCAGGACAATTTTAGAACAACAGCACACTTCGTCGCCCGAATCACGCACTCTCGGAGCGGCCATATCGGGTCTAAAATACAACCCGATCACAATTTTTAGATTCTCAATTGTGTCAAAATCTGGATTCTTTACCGAGATACCCGTGGTTCGTGGGGTATCGTATGCACCCTCTTGAATATAATTCAGAATGACGAACTAACGCAAGGGACGACATGCTAGTACGTGGACCATCTCTTCCATGGCTCGTATGCTCACGTCGTTGAGTCACTCATTGGTAGACCATGAGCCCCCTCCCCCTCCCCCCTCCACTCCACTCATCAGTAGACCA